GGGGGGGTACGGGGGGTACAGGGGGGGTACGGGGGGGCGCTTACAGTAAACTGTGACTGGATGATTCAATCAGCTCCACATCAGGAGGATCTTTTCTACTCTACAACTCTACACACTCGGCTGAGCTCCGGCTGCGTCTGCATGAACAACAGGGAGGTGTGACAGTGCACAGCGCCCCCGTGAGGCTGAAACGTTCACTGCACTCCACAGAACTGATCATTAAATATTGATCCTGAAGGTTTTCATCTTTTTATCGGGATCAGCTGTTCTTCCAGCTGCATGCCAACGTTAGCACATTAGCATGATAATGAGGTTAACGTGTTTTCCTCGTTAACATGCTGACGACTTTAATACGCTAACACTTGCACAATTAGTACGCTAAACGTGCTAATGTTAGTGTGTAGCTTCAAACTGTGGAAAACTTTAATAATAAAACAGCTGCACAGTAAACTGGTTTCCTCAGTTATATGATGTTACTGACTGAAGCAGAAGTTCAGCTGTAGGAAGTTTATAACTGGAGCAACAAGTGTAATATTCAGATTTAAAGTCTGTTTTTAAGCACACACAGTGTTTTACAGCCTGTTTAATGCTTCAGATACTTATAAATAAATAAAGTAAATAAAGTGTAAACCTGCCACAGGAACTCACATTATTACAGCTTCGTCTCAATCCGAATTAAAATCGAGACCTTCTGAGTCACGTAGACGCAGCCGGAGTTTCCCACCCTGCTCAGGACATTTTATTCCCACCAACCACAAACTCACCGACGGAGGACACGAAGGCGACCGGCTGCTACTCATCCACGGACAGAAACCAACAAAAACCTGACATTGCACTGGATTTTTTAAAATCTTGCTTGTTTTTGTACTCTCTCTCTCTCTCTCCGTGTATAATCATGTTTACTTACATGTGTAAATGTCACGTTTAGCAAACTGTATGCACTCTTTTTATTATTTGCCAAAGCCTCTGTATCGTGCTTCTTTATTATTATTAGTACTTCTGTTTGTGTGACTGTAAATACTGTAAATATATTGATATCTATATGAATGTTACGTGTATTCCAATCTACATTTATCGACAGTACGAGTTATTGACAGTATTCCTCACTGTGATACTACCTACTCTCTTTGCTTTACACATTATTATTATTATTTAATAAACATTTGTTGAGGAAAAAGTTGCTGTTTTTTGATATCTTGATTTGGCCCATAGTGTAGCCAGTAAGAAAATACCTCATGTTATTAAATGTTATTCTTAATAATAACGGCTTATATCGGAATAATCCCATTTCTGAACATTTGCCTGTAAGCGAAGGTGAAGAGTGGCTTTTATAATAAAAATGTACCATAAAAAAGTTGTTGTTGTTTGTTTCTCACTGGACTTCATTTCATCAGGTGTCATTACTACTTGAAATAATAAGTCGGTTTACTTTTATTTGGATTTTGTTGCAAATTTTATACAAAAGTGACATTTTAATGAAGTATTTTAACTTATAACCGTATTTATAAACTGTTTTATTGATACTTTAAGAAAAGATTTGACTACTTTTTCTTCCACCACTGAATAAATTACAGATTTTAAAGGGTGGCAAAAAGAACAACCTCAGTTTGGTGTCAAATTTAACTCATTAAATGTTAAAAAACTAAATTTAATGATCTGTTCTGGCCACATTTAAGTTAAATGAAAAAAGACGTGTGGATGATAAAATAATATATTGATTTCTAATGCAACCTATTGATATTTATTACTACTGATAATGTTTGTTTTTAAGTTAAAATATCTCCATTTACAGAGAAATATTGATGAAAGTGATTATTTACCACCATATGAATATTAAATAATAATAATAATATCTCTTCTAACTGGTTTTACAGTGACTAACTGTTATTGGACATTATTAGACTATTAATAATAAATAAAAAGGTCCTTTAGATGATCCTTTAGATAGATTTATTGGTCGTTGTTGTGAATGTGGGTCACAGATATGAGTGTAACCTTTATATAAACACATATAAACACATATAAACACATATAAACACATAAACACATATAAACACATATAAACACATATAAACACATATAAACACATTTAAACACATAAACAGATATAAACACATAAACACATTTAAACAGATATAGACACATTTAAACAGATATAAA